ATTAGAGATATTTACATTTAGTTTTATCGGATATTTAGTCCGCCCTGGTGTGGCACAGACGAAGATTCAAGTCCTGTCAGGTCGAATGAATTTTTCTTTGTGTTTGATCTTTATTATTAATAATTATAACAAACTAGTGAAGTACTTTCACAGAAAATAAATCAATATCATTATAGTGAAACATGATAATATTCATTACACTCAATATTAAAATCTTTTTCTTATAATAGCTACGTAGCGTGTGTGGAATGGATTATTGTTTTGAGATATTATTCTCTTGTTCTTTTATTTTTTACACACCCATAGCTCCGCACTAAGCAAATCCGGTATCGCAGGTGCCATGGACATACACATAGACAACCACAAATCACACCCAAACTTAAGAGATAAATAAATGTAGAACATACAAATATTTCTCCCAGACCGGGAATCGAACCTGGGTTCTCTGCGTGGCAGACCACAGTAACCGTTTGGCCACGGAGGCAGTTGAGTGGATATTATTGTTGTGTATTTTTTGGTACAGACTAAGCTTCTTGAGATTTAGCATCGACTTCTTGTACACCCCGTATAAAGTGTTTGCTTGCATAGACTGCGTGCAATAATATAAAGTCAACTGGAATTATTTTCAACACACTTAGCGTTCTGAATTCTCTTTCTGCGGTACTAAAGTTCTAATGAGGCGTGGTATACTAATCAAAACCAAAAAATAATAATAAAGATATAAATAATTATAAAGATTTATCTCTGACTTTAGGAAATCCTTAAAACTATAGGTGGAGTTTCAAAATGATGTTACTAAGTGCTAGTTTGTTAACATTGTATATTAATTTCGGTAAGTGTAATATTTTTAACGTTATTTGTAAATTAAACGTGAAGGCGATATTTTATTTAGTTAATGTTGTTTATATACTAGTTATTAAGATTATTGCACTCTTGGTGTAATTAGGTCATATCTACAAAATGACATCTTTTCAGAATCTCTCCTAAAAAACTGTCATTTTGCAGATATGTATAAGTTATAAAAATAACACGATCTACATGAAACAAATTATGTATTGTGAAAGTTTATAACTCTCCTTTTTATGCTTTTTTTAACCAAATTCATTGGAAAGTTTTATCTTTCCAATTAATTTGGTTCATAAAGTTAAAGACTTCTCTACTGAAAAGTTCTCATTCGGCAGGTGTGATCTTATTACACCACCTTTTGCTACAACAGTGGCTATAATTATAAATAATTTTTCCTATAAAAACATTGTACAGAATTTGATTGTTTTTGATACCGTCCTTCTCGCATTGTAGTCATACCTAACTGTAGAAGACGTAGTCTTTCAAAAAAGAAGAATATCCACAAATCTGACTCATTATTAAAAACACTAGTTTCACACGACGTAATAATTAATTTTATAATAATAATAATAATAGAGTTTAAAATAAATACGATAATAATAGAGTCTAAAATAGATATAATCATAATGAACCCTTATTTAAGTTCCAACAAACATATTTCTTATAAAATAACAATTGTGACAAGAAATAAACATAACTTAATTTAATTCAAATTATAGAAAGAAAGAAAGAAATAGAAGTAATTTATTCAGCACAATACACGTGGAGTAGAATATTAATAATTAGTATTAAAAGTGTATTATTGCACTGAAAAGGACCCAACTCAGCTAATACTGCGGCAGGGCCTCAGCGCTGGTTTTCAGTGGACCCTTTTCGAAAATGCCGATTAAAAGAAATAAAAATATATGAATAAAATAAAAACAAACGTGGACGCGAGTTAAATGAAAACTTAAACATGAAACAATATAATTAAATAGGAAACATAACACAAATTTCAGCTAATGTCCCAACAAAGATTCACTCTGCTTTTTCTTTTTAATTTTGTATTTTGAGGCGCATTACACAAATAAAATTGTTCCAGACGTGTTTTGTAGATTTAGAATGTGCTCTTTGAGTTGACAATTGAACGCATAAACGGATTATAATTATAACATCGTTATAAAATAATAGGGGTTAAAGTATGAAATTGCCGATTTGTACTGAAAATCTAAATTGTTTATTTTTTAAATTTTTAACAAATTTATTTAATCAAAATAGTTGCCATTATTAGCTATACATTGCTGCCATCTAATGGGAAGGTTATTAATGCCTTTGCGATAGAACTCCGACGATCTAGACTGCACAAACTGTGTGAAAGCATTTTGTACTGCCTCCTGGGAAGAAAACTTCTTGTCACGTAGATAATTGTCCAAATCACGAAAAAAATGGTAGTCCGTTGGAGCAAGGTCTGGTGAATACGGAGGATGACGAATGGTTTCTAACTGCAGTTCCTGAAGGGTCAAAATGGTTTCTCGTGCTGTGTGAGGTCTCGCGTTGTCGTGGAGCAATAATGGTGAAAATCGATTCATGAGTCGGGGCTGTTTTACTGCTAGTTTTGTCAACATGGTTCGGAGTTCGGCACAATAGACATCTGCCGTTATTGCTTGACCAGATCGGAGAAAACTATAGTGAATAACACCATGCTGAGACCACCAAACAGTTACCATTACCTTTTTATTGGTAAGTTTTGCTTTAGGACACTGTTGTGGCATTTGACCTGGGGTCAGCCATTGCATTTTTCTTTTCCGGTTATCATAAAGAATCCACTTTTCATCACATGTTACAATTCGATCCAATATTCCTTCATTTCTGTACCGGTTCAACAAGGCAACACAAGTTTCAACACGCGTTTCTTTCTGCAGATCAGTCAAATCATGAGGCACCCATTTTTCGTATTTTTTTATTTTATTGATTTGACGCAAGTGAGTCAATATTGTGGGTAAGGTAACGTTAAACCATGCCGCTAATTCCTGGGTAGTTTGACTAGGATCGGCTTCCACTATCTCTCTTAATTCATCGTTATTCACCTGTGTGGGCGGTCTTCCTCGTGGCTCGTTCTTTAAGTCGAAATTTCCATCACGAAAGCGTTTAAACCAAAATCGCACGGTGCGTTCATTAGTTAGACCCCTCTCCAAACGCAGCATTGATATTGCGGGCTGTTTCTGCCGCGTTAGTTCCGCGTCGGAACTCGTATTCAAAAATCACTCGAATTTTCGCAGTATCCATCTTTCTTGTCTAAATTGAATAACAAAAACAATTGAAAGTCGATATTCAAATGTTTCAAATTAAAAAAAAAAATCACAGAAACCATTTGAAAAAAGTTTCATTCGAAAACCTCAAACCATGAAGATTCTATGAAAATTCAAAGAACCTATTGCAATAAAACGGCAATTTCATACTTTAACCCCTAATATTATTGAAAGTGAATTAATTATAAGATCATGTGAAAAGTATAAGAAAAAAGATTTATTTTTTTTTAAGTTGAACCATTAATAGTTTTTGTTTGGACCCTTCGGGAAAAAATATATTTTATGTTAACATGATGTTGACAAGTCCCATGTGCCTGCAATTTCACCAGCATGCTTACCTTTCCAAACCGGAACACAGTTAACACTCACATTACTGCTTGGCGGCAGAAAGAGGTGACGGTGCTTTCTTGGACGAACTCTTTCCCGAGGAACTCTACTGCTTTAAAACTATAGTGAAACCAAAATGTCCCACCAGCTCGTTCATCCCTGCGATATTCTATTCAGGCATACTAAATCGCTTTTCGTCATCGTCTATACACACAGCCAAAGAATGGAGTTCCCTGCCTGTTTCCGAGCACATACAACCCGTATTTCTTC